CACTTGTATGTAAAGCAGACATCTCGTCACTCATAGCCTGTCGCCATCCTAGATGAGACAACGTTTCACCTGTAGACTTAGGGATGGAAACCGAGGACAAAGAAGATATAAAAGCATAACGGGGAGATGACAGACGATGATAGCTCAAACTGACATAATGAGGATTAGGGTTAAGTGTGGTCCGTATACCTTTCTGAAGTGCAATCGGTGTACTAGGAGCAGGGTTCGCAGCAGGAGCAGGGTTAGGACGAGAACCAGTTGGGCCTGATGGAGGACGCAAACGACGATGATAAGTCAAGAGTGGTGTTCCTGTGGCTGGGGAACTAGGGGGAACAACACTAGACTCCTCAACGGTTGGTATGGAAGAAACCTCTGTGGTCGAAGGTGGAGGAAGAGCTATAGTAAACTCCTCAAAGGTCGGTATAGGTAAAACCTCAGATATATCATGGTGGTCAGCAGAGGTAAAGAAAGGTTTAGACTCAAAAAATGTGACGTCAGCTGACATAAGGTACCTACGAAGATCTGGAGAATAACAACGATATCCCTTCTGAACACGAGAATAACCAAGGAAGACACACTTGAGAGCACGAGGAGCTAACTTATCTTTCCCAAGGGCTAAGTTATGAACAAAACACGTGCTCCCAAAAACACGAGGTGGAAGAGGGTATAAAGGCGACTGGGGAAATAATACTGAATGCGGAATCTGATTCTTGATGGGAGATGAAGGCATCTGATTAATCAAATAACAAGTTGTGAGAACTGCATCGCCCCAAAAACGCAACGGAACACGATATTCAATTAGAAGTGTGCGAGCAGTCTCAATAAGGTGCCTATTTTTTCTCTCAGCAATCCCATTTTGCTGAGGGGTATAAGGACAAGATGTCTGATGAATAATTCCTTGATAAGTCATAAACTGCTGAAATTGAGAAGATAAATATTCTAAGGCATTATCACTGCGAAAAATGCGAATAGAAACACCAAATTGGTTTTTGATTTCAGCACAGAAACTCTGGAATATAGAAAATAACTCAGAACGATCTTCCATTAACAAAAGCCAAGTACATCTTGAATAATCATCAATGAAACTGACAAAATAACGAAATCCCAAGGATGAACTGACTCTACAAGGACCACATATATCAGAATGAACTAAGGAGAAGACAGACTCTGCATGACTCTTAACACTACGCGAAAAGGAGGCTCGGGTATGTTTCCTAAGTTGACACGACTCACAATCTAATGTAGACAAACTAGATAAACTAGGCACCATCTTCTGAAATTTGGATAAACTCGGATGTCCTAAACGTCTGTGGATTAGATCTGGAGGATCTGTAACTAGACATGTTGTGGAAGGACTGAGTGAGTTAAGGTAGTAAAGGCCTTCTGATTCACGTCCTGTACCAATTGTCTGTCCCGTACTGCGGTCCTGCATAATAAAAGAATCGTCAATAAAATATATACCACAATGGAGGGCACGAGTCAAACGACTAACAGATGCAAGACTAAAAGGACAGCCAGGGACATAAAGAACGGAATCTAGGGTGATAGAAGACAAGGGATTAGCTTGTCCAACTCCTTTTGCCTTAGTTTGACATCCATTGGCTAAAGTAACAGTGGGAAGAGACTGTGAATATACAATATTTGACAAAAGTGATATATTACCAGAGATGTGATCAGAAGCGCCGGAGTCCATGACCCATGGGCCAAGAGTGCTAGACTGGGAAACACAAGCAAAAGAATTACCAGTAACAAAAGTATCAGTCTGAGCAACTGAGGCTACTTGTGGAGATGTCTGCTTACTTGCTCGATATTGAAGGAGCTCATTATATTATTCTTTAAATAAAGAAAATCCTTGGTTACCTANCAAGAACAGAGGAATCAAGTATCTATGATGAGATCACTGGTGGACTTGGTGCTGCAGCAAGGCGAAGTAATCGAGAGAATAATTCATCAAATGTCGGGACAGACGGACTAGCCAAAATCTGGTCGCGTACTGAATCAAGATCATTAAGAAGTCCAGCGAGGGTAAGAACGAGAAACATCCCAAAGACATTATTCTGAGGTAATAATAGCACTAGAGCTTCCAGAACTCATGTTTCTAGACCCAAAAGCATCAAATCCCAAAGACATTGTTGCAAATTATTACCAAATAAGAGAAAGAATCAACTGTAATCTACTGAAACAGTGTACGGAAACACAGAAACAAAATACTGAAATATTGTAGCTGCCGGAATCTACTGTAGTTGTCGGAATAGTACTGTAGCTGCCGGAAAAAACTCAAAGTTGTCGGAATGAAATGAAAACAGTAGGGGTAGGATCGGAATTACCAGGCGACCTAACTGTTCTGAAGGAAGATTTTCAAAAAATGGCCGGAAGTGGCCGTACGCGTCGGCACGTGAGCTCACGCGCGTGAGCTTCTGGTGGCGCGTGGAGGGGCGTGAGGAGGCTGTTGTCGGAGCTTTTCACTGGGGTTTGGTCGCCGGACAGTAACGACTCTTGTGGTAGTGTTGAATTTTGCACAACACTGACAGACAGACTAACACATACAATAGAAGATCTTCAATGTAAAAGCGACTGAGTTAAGATGTTCATGTCCCCAAGCAGGGCTGATTTACTTATGCCTAGATTCCATTGTCGGCAGCACTACTTGAACCCCAGGCCCAGACAGAGACAAAACAAGATATCACAAATTTGTGTCACGCTGTATTAAAGAGGTGATCAATGTCATCCCTTAGGTTTTAACACATGGAGACCAGACAGTATACAAAATCTCTTCTTGAAATGCTTGATGCTCTCTTATTACTGAACTAGAGTAATACACCTGGAATAGTTTCACCATTACAACCCTACCTGGAATTAGTAATTAATATAGCTTTTCTTTTATCTTTTCATGTTTCTTGTTATTGAATATTGCAAATAAGTCCAATAGGTGAAGAAGAATCCCAAATATGCACTATCGAGTTGCCTAAGAAACGAAAATGAGATTTGTCTGTTTACCTACTACTCCATCGAGGGCCAAAACATAAAATGAAATACTAGGGATGAATCACTCACAAGAAGCAAGTTAGCAAGAGGTATGAAGTACTCTGCATCCACAAATTGAGCGGCCGGGAAAAAAATAGACAGCATAGCCAATGGTAACTCTTTTCCCTTTTAAAAAAATCATTTACCAGCTTTTCTTTATGAAACTTTTCCAGAGAGCTTGATCATGGTAACCATTCTGTTAAGTAATGCAAAATGCTGATAATGTTGCATAGGAAGTTATTTGTCAAAACTCTTCCTTTTTTCTTGGAACACCGTCATGGTGCATTCTTGATATATAGAGTAAAGGGATAAGAAATAGTAGAGCTATTAACACTGAGAAGCTTAAACAACACAATATGCAACCTTAAACCCACTCTCCATAATAAACACGAAGCCTGCTATCCCTGTTCTATCTTTTCTTTTTTTCTTTTTTTTTTTCTATTTTGGATGACAATGGAGTTAGGTCAAGCACAACTTGACTATTCCACCAGGTACTTGCATCCTTCCAGTACTATAAGTAACGCTTAACTCTACCCCCAAGGTTTAGGCAGGTGGAAGAAAGCACTTAACAATTTTGCCTCTACTGAGATTTGAACCTCGCTCTCCCACGTGGTCTTCACTCCAACTTCATCTACTACTAGGTCACACCCTCCAAAGACAAATCTTTCTGAATCTTTGCGAGGAAGAGAAGAAAAATAAAAGGAATTAGAGGTCTATGACAAGAAAGGCACTAGTATTCCAGAATTAAACTTGACCCGTAAATCAAGTAGCTTTAGAAAAACAAGTAGTTCCCCGGTCATAATTTTGGTCAAATCTACCACACGCAACAGGAAATTGAAGCAAGCAACAAATACAAGTTCATCACCCCCATTTAGAAGTTCTTAAAACTACAATAGAGACCAAAGGTTTAACATAAACTAAGTGATATCCATCTAGGTCAAAGCACCACGATTAAGTCACCAATAAGAAATCTACCGTATCTGTGCAATTGTTTTTTAATAAAGTCCTTATCAGTGCAAGTTAAAATGTTAGAAACCAGCTTTAAAGCACATCAAAGAGTGCTGGTGTCAACTTCAACAGAGAGAGGTCCAATGTGGCTAGATGACAAAAACAACCGCTGGTCTCCATTAACAAGTGTGAAATGAAGAAGCTATACATCAGGAACTGAAGCCCTGAATTAGAAATGCGCTTCTGTCCAAAGGTTGAATTACGTTGAATGAAGCTTGTCTTTTCCATCTTTTGCTTAATGCGCAACTGTTTACGAACGCAAAGATGCACGGAAACTAAGAGAAGGCTATATAAAGAGGGCAAGTCCTATCAAGTTCCAACCTTCTTGTACAACAAGCAAGGAGTCATAATAAACATACTCTTCTACTGGTTTTCCTGTAAATATTTTCAATCTAGCTATGCATATTTCTGTGTTTTCCTACATCTTTATGTGTTGCCCATTATCCGGCTTTATCCACAATTTTCAAACCACGTTTCATTATCTTGGAACTTATGATTAAATAAGTTATTACAACTTAAACATTTAGAGACAATATGAAGACTTTTGCAGCATATTTCTTCTGTCTTGCGCTGCTGCTTAAAACATTCAGCAGTACTTACACCCCAGCCACCAACCATCCATGGTCGTGAGAGAGACAGGATCTTGCGAGACAAACTTATTTTTAACCTCACATGCAACTTATAAGTGCATCTAATTAACAATAGAAATAAAAACTAGAAGAGTGGTGTGGGGACGGGATACTGAAGGTATGTAACATATTCCAAGCTTGATGGTAAGTCAAACAGACATGTACCTTCCGAAAGAAAAAGATTAAAGCATTTAAGCTTGGATGCAGAACTGCATTCTTATAAAGCTGACCGCTTTGACTCTTCATTTTCCACAACGAGATATTTTATGTTCTACAGTCTGCTATTGCTAGTACAGAACATTGCATCTTAATAAGCATTTTTGGAAGTTTACACTTCTGATAAAAAGAAAGTGAAATTGAGCAAAATAGATCAGTATGACAACTATCCCACGGAGAAAATAACAAAGATATGTATAGTATTATGCAAGAACAAACTAAATTGATTATATGACCAGTGTTAGAGCCACTGAGAATGTATTGAAGCTAAAAACACCAGTTGATTAAACTACAAGTTGATATTTCCGCAATATAACGAAGTAAATCTGCACAAACTTAGCTGATTTCAAGGATGCATAGCCTAAGAACAAAATTTGAGAACCAACGTGAGTGAAGCTCATAATACTGAAGTGCAATCACAACCATTTTCATTTTGCTCCTCTTAAAGAAAAAAAGCAGCACAAGTACAAAGCATATTGTATAAAACCAAATAGCATTAGCCACCAATGGAGTCATCATTTTGCCAAATTAGTTACCTTATTCTCTCTATTCAATCCAATCTGAGATTATACCATCCAGCAAAGCAACAACTTCCTCATTTCCCTTATCCCCATTCTCAGCACACTTCAAAGCTTTATTCAGTTCTTGTGCCTCTCTAATCCTAGCCTCCCTCAACAAACTTCTATACACACACATTCTCACCTCATCCCCAATCTTTAAATTCCCAACTACCATCATCCTCAAAACCTTCAACCCTTCCACAACCATACCATTCTTGCAAAACCCATTTACCAAAAGAGCACACAATCCATAATCCACAACACAAGGAAAATCAGGCCTTGACACCCAATGGAAAATCTTTAAAGCTTTCTTGGCCTGTCTGTCTCTAAAATATAAAGAAACTAACTTTTTACAAATGGGTATTAAAAAAGATTGAGTCTTTGGGGTATACTTGAGGCGGTTAAGGAAGTACATGGGTAGTGTAAGGTCAGGTTCAAGAGAGAGACTGTGAATGAAAATGGAAAGGGAGAGTGATTCTAAAGATGGGTTTGTGAGAAAAGCTGTGGTGATGAGATTAGCAGCCTCTTTGAGGTGGTTTGAAGAGCATAAACGTGGGATTAGTAGGTTTATCTGTGTAAGCTCTTCTTCGGTCAGAGAAGTGGTTGTATTTGTGCTTGTTGGGGTGGGTCCTGTTTGGGAAGATGACGTGAAAGGCAAAGAATTAGGAATGAAACGTGAGGAGAGAAGGGATTGTGAAGAAAGGAAACGCAGTTTTAGAAATGATCTCATGGCAGTAGTGCTCGAGGGAACTAAATTGAATTACTGATACTGAGCAGAGATCAACGGAACAGCCATTAAATGGTGATGGCTAAAGTGTACATGTATGTCCGGTGTCCCGAAAAAATGAAAAAAGGTGTATTCTAAAATAGTCCTTAAATATGCCTCTAAACAAGTACTAGTCCATTATTTTTGTCAAGAAAGAGCACTTTTGGTCTTATTAAACACTTAACAAATTTTGGTGCCTAGATTTAACTAAAAATGTGAAAATTATAAAGATTTAATTAGAACTCATATTTGGAGGTACATAATTTCTACTATTTTGGTTTATCTTTGATATATGTTTACCCATAAAACGGTACAGTTAAATTTATATGTGGTTTCTAGATAAGTGAATTAATTCGATCCTGAAATAATAAAATAATTGAAGAAAAACGCAATACTTAGCCTTAAAATGAAGACAAAATAACATAAACAGTAATTTCGGGAGCAAGGCTTCCGGGCACAACATCAATGAAATCAAGGAATAAGAAGATAAATTTGTATAAAGTTTTGAATCGATTATAGCATAAGTTTGTCAGAAAACACGTGTCCCTTACAATGATAACATAGCCAAATATTTATAGCTGCACCTAGAAAACAAGGTCCTAGGATCATGCCCTTCTTTAATGGCAATTATAAGGGCCATTGAAGAATGTATAACGGTGAGCATAAATGACAAATTCTTTGTAACGGGCAATGTACTAAATGCTACGGAATATTTTCCATTAAATGCTACCGGACGGAAGGTATTTATTGCATCTTTATGAGCGTCATTCTTTCCGGTGACAAATGAAATAGTTGCATTCGGTTTTAACTATCATTCGACTCCACGTGTCACTCTCTTATGCGGCCACTTAGCATAGCATATTTTACCCTATGCAAATAGTCTCTCTGCTTTCCGGTGACATAACTTTGTGTCACCGAAAAGTTGGTAGAAACATTCTTTTTGGCAGGAATTACTGATCCCCTTTGAAAAGCTTCTAACGGTTGATTAGACGCACGTCTATCCGCATTTAATATCCCGAACACGTGTCATCCCACTATTCAGCATAACTTTTGTCGGTTATCGAGGTAATCATGACCACGAATTTAGCCGCCTAAAACTTTACTTATACGCATCAACCTCCTTCATTCATACTCCATAATTCTCCAAACTTTCACAAACTCTCTTCATTCAACTTGTATTTTGTTCTTCAACCTTTCTTTAACTCTCTTAAAACAAGAAAAGCTTTTCCTTCTTCCATAACATGCAATGGCTTCTTCAAAAAAAAATACCAGTTCCTCAAAGAACAAAAACAAAGCTGAGGACGTTGCTCCTCTAACAGTGAACACCATCATCCCTAGAAGTCTTGTTACAACAAAAGACTTAGAAGAGAAATTTCCTTCTATTAGCCCTCGTACATGGACCGTTAGCAGATATCATTCTTCCATCTGTCCTTCCACCATTCCTGCTGTGAATGAAGATTGTCATTGCCAGGATTTAGACATTATCGCTCCTGATTTGGCGGAGCGAGTAACCTTACCCAAGAAGGTTTTTACGTACTTCTATATGTATCCCTTCACTTTGGGATATTTTCTTTGAGCGGAGAGTTTGACTCTGTCATTTAGAAGTTTTGCCTCCGCTATCAAGTGTGTTTGGTACAGGTGAGTCCCTCCGTGTGGAGGACGATTGCTTGCCTTCGGCGTCTATGCCAGGAAACGAGGGAGGAGCTATCTTTAGCTCATGTGATGAACCTTTATTCCCCCAAGATCTTCCGTGGGGGAATGATCAATTTCAACAAGCGAGGCCACCATGCATTGCTATCCAGCATAGATGATCTGATAACGATTGTGGGTGGATGGAACGATTTGTCTCTGTTGCCATCAGTGATATCATCCTGGCCTCGGCACCTTCCTTCCCGGAATTGTTGAACCGCCCTCGTAAGTATACAATTTGCTAATACTCTTGTTAAAGATCATTTTCTCGCCATTATTAACTTTTCTTCCTTTACATGCCTCAGCGACTCGGTGGGTTCCCCTTAGGGTTGAGGGCTTGGATCAATGGGTTCAAACAAATATGGATGTTACTACACCCGAAACCCACTCGTGGAAAGAGTTGTCCCTGAAATATGGGTGGAAGACCAAAAATCATGGTAAGTTTAACTCATCATGTCCTTACCTTCTCTTATGAGAAAATATTAGATTCTTCTCTCCTGTTGAATATAGATCTACCCCGGGGCTCAGTTGGCACCCCCAAGGAGGACATTTTGGTTGATCCTATTGATGCGGTGGGGCTGCTGCAGAAAGCTTTTTCACAGATAGGCATCTCTGGGCCTACTTCTGGCGCAAGTGCTTCTTCTCGGAGTCCCCGGCTAGAGAACAAGCAACCAAAAAGAAGGAATTATGTGGCCGTAGAATTTCATCTGCAGTCGTAAACTAAGGAGAGAAGTTTAGCAGAACTTTGCGCAAAGTGCGAACCGCACATGAATTGTGCGGCCGCAAAACTGGGCTAAGAGTCGAAGATCAGAGAGTATGCAAAAAGATTAAGTCCAAAAGCCTCTGTGAATTGCGCACCGCACAAGAATTATGTGGCCGCAACCCAGAAATGTGCGGCTGTAGAAGATTACTCTGCGGCCGCAATTCAGAAATATGCGGTCGCAGAACTCTACTTCCTGCCAGATGAAGAAATATGCGGACCGCACATGGAATTTTGCAGCCGCAAAACCTCCCGAGGGGCATTTTTTCCGAGATTTTCAGCCTTGTATAAATAGACGAGTTTCACAAAATTAAGTCAAGTTTGAACATCTGAAGTTGTTGTAGCCATTTTCCTTTACTACTTTAGGAAGATTTACATTACTTTGGTGTATTTATATTAGAATTAATCATTTTAAGCTTCAATTATGAGTTTAATTAGTTTTTCTTCCTTATTTTCTTCAAACCCCATTATGAGTAACTAGACTTTTACTAGGGTTGTGACCCAACCCTAGTGTGTAAACCTTATGGGTATATAATTTAGTACTTGTTTATCATTGGGTGTTGATTATTTAGCTTAGCTCATGCTTTAATTGTAGAATTAATGGTTGTAAATATTAATTCATGCCTATCTGACTTAGTCTCTACTTGAGAAAGAGGGACCTGGTTTAGGATAGCTTAGCTAACAAGAAATTGGATCAATTGAGAGATTGATTAATCTAATTAAAGGGTTCAACCTAGAGATTGTGATAACCCAACTTGAGCTCTTATCAACTGTTTGGGGTGATACCCATTTGATCTTGAGAAATCCAAATTGGGCAAAACCATTCTCTGACCGAGAGGTATTAAGTAGGTAATTTAGAGTTGAGAGCTATAATACACCCCAATAAACAAAACAATCATTAAAGTCTTTATCCCATTAGGCAAACACCTAGGTCATGTTCACAACCCTAGGCCTTTTACATATTTGTAAAAACTTAAAAATAATTATCTCTAGTCTACTTTATTTTGCAATTATTATTAACAGTAGAAATAGAAAATAAATCCCTATTATGGAAGTGCAATTTAGATAATCCAATTGATCATTTGAAATATATACCCCTAATTCTCATCTTAGTTCCCAGTAAATTTGACCCCGACTCCTAGCTGGATATTTATTATTATATGCGACCGTTTCATATCTCTATTGAGGTATGCTTGGGACGTGATCAATTTTTGGCGCCATTGTCGGGGAGTTAAAAACGGTGTTAGCTATATATTTGAGTATGTTTTTGGAATATCTTCTCTTCCTTCCGTGTTACTAACTTGTTTGAGAAATCGTAGGTACAACCATGGTGAACAATGAGCTCGAAAATTTACCTTTGGGGGATGTGGACGTCGAGAATAACCAAGTTGATGAGGTTTCTCTTGAACCTTAAGTCAATAGAAAAGGATGAGTGCCTCACGATAATGTCCCCGCTCCACCTCCACCTCCACCACGAGCGGCTACACACCGTGTGTTACCCAGTGAAGGATATGCTAGTGCAATAGTCCCTTCCCGTATTAGGGCGAGCAATTTTCAAATCACCAATGTGATGCTCACTTTGCTAGAGCAACTAGGTTTCTTCACCGGTGCTCCAAGTCAAAATGTATACAAACATTTGAAGGGGTTTGTGGACACTTGTTGGGGGAGCAAACAAACAAATGTCTCTGAGGATGCATTGAGGCTAAGGATTTTTCCCTTCTCTCTAAGAGGGAAAGCTTTAGATTGGTTGGAATGTTTGCCGAACTATTCCATTCACACTTGGGATGAGTTGGTGGAAAAGTTTATTTCTAAGTTCTTCTCTCCGGGGCACATGGCTACACTTCGGGATGAGATTTTAGTATTCAAGCAAGAACCAAATGAACCACTACACGAGATATAGGAACGTTATATAACAATGGTTAAGGAATGTCCCAACAATGATATGACGGAGGATATAATTCAACAAACTTTCTATCGTGGGATTAACACAACCAACCAATGTGTAGTGAAACAACTTGTCAGTGGAAACTTCATGGCTACGCCTTATGCAGAGGCGTGTGAGATTTTAGCTGACATGGCGAAAACACCATCAATGTGGAAATCCCGGGCTAATGTTCCACAAGGTGATTCGAAAGTGATCCACCTTCACAAAGAGTTGCATGACTATAGGCAAACCATTGCCGAATTGACTACCACCATGAATTAATTAGCAAAGGCTCAACTTCAACAAGTGCAAAATCCTAAGCAAGTCAATTCCATGGAAGGAGTGAACATGATGGTGAACAAAATAAGGACTAAGGGTCCGCAAGTCCAACATCGAGTGGAGAATTATGTGCAAGAGGATAGTGGTTTTGATCAAGATGATTCTTACAATGAACAAGAAGGGGAGATGCAATATATGAACAACTTCCAGGGGCAATGAAACAGCTTCCAATGCCCAAACCAACAACAATGGCGACCTCAAAACAATCAAGGCAATTGGAATTCTAACAACCAAGGAAATTGGAGTGATGGCAAAAATCAAGGAAATTGGCACAACAACAACAATCAAGGAAACTGGAGTGGCAATAATCAAGGAAATTGAGGGAGGGGGGTAACA